GAGCTACCTAGCCAGGGCAAATTAGTGAAATTTTAAAATTCAATAGCAATACCCAACTGAGAGAAAAACTGTCTTTGGAAAGATAAATATCTGGAAACAGCCTAAGTGCCCATCAGTAGGTGAGTGGATAAAAAAGCCGTGGTACATTTACACCACGGAATACTATGCAGCCATAAAAAAGAGGGGTCTCTTACCCTTTGGGACAGCATGGATAGACTTAGAGAGTATTATGCTAAGTGAAATAAGCCAGTCAGAGAAAGACAAGTATCACATGATCTCACTTATATGTGGAATCCAATGAACAAAATAAACTGATGAACAAAATAGATACAGAGACACAGAACCATAGAGCAGTCTGACAAATTTCAGAGGGAAGATGCGGGTGGGGAGTAGGTGGGGAGAGACTAATCAAAGAACTTATATGCATATATGCATAACCTATGGACATACAATAGTGAGGAGAAGGCCGGAGAGGGGGGTTGACGGGTGGAGGGGATTAATGGAGGGGAAAAAAAGAGGATATCTGTAATACTTTTCAACAATAAAGATTAAAAATAAATAAAAATTAGAAATAACACCCTTTCTCAAGGATGAAAATAAAACTGTGAAATACAAAAAAAGAATTAAACAGCAATTATACATTAAAAAAAAAATGTAAAAGAAAAGATAAATAAAATTGAAAAACACTCATTGATCAAGAGAATGCCCAAATAAACAGTATTAAAAATGAAAAAGGGGGCATAACTTCAGATGCAAAAGGTAGAGATTACAGCTTTCTAGAAGTAGCAAAGTAGATGGTTTGGACCAACCCTCTGAGAATAATTTTTAAAAGTAGAGAAAATATAAAGTATTTAATGTAAGATATAAAAACCTTATTTGGAAGGCTTTAGAGAATTGAGACAATGAAGAAGTTGCAGGGCAAAGATCTGCAAAAAGAGGAAAGCCAGAGATGTGAGCTCACCATTTTAGCCAAATGAATCAATATGGTAGAGATGAAAAGTTGATTTGACACTAGAAAATAAATTAATGTAAATCACTACATTAACATCTTAAAGGAAAAATATAAGATAATTTCAATTAATGTTAGAAAGTGTTTCATACAATTTAACATATTAATGAAAAAAGAAGCTTAGCAAATTTGTTGTGGAAAACTTCCTTAATCCAAATAATAGGAATTTAGTAGCAACAACTACAAAAAAAAAACCTCTACAGCAAACATTGTACTTAATGATGAAACAAGGAATATATTCTTGAAGATCAGGAATAAGACAAGAGTGCCTGCTGTATTAACATTTCTATTTAACATCGTACTGAAAGTCCTAGCCAGTGCTGCAAGGAAAAAAAGTGGTAAAAAATAAAAGCAATTTTTTGTAGATGATATGATTATTGACAAGGAAAAACTAAAATACCTACAGATAAAGTATTAAAATAGCAATATTGATACATATTTTAATAATCAGATACATTTCTGTGCACCAGCAACAAACAAAGCACAATTTTAAAAAGAACATTTAAAAAAGCATTAAAAAGTCAAGTACCCAGGAATAAGTCTAATAAAAGATAGGCATGGTCTATATGGAGAATTTCCTTGGTAAATGGAGATAAACCATATTCATGGATTGGAAGACTCCATATTGTAAAAATGTCAATTTTATGCAAACTTTTTTATAGTTATAACAGCCCCTACTAAAACCATCTGGATTTGTGTGTGTATATGCATAACTTGATAAAATGATGCTCAGAGTCCAAGAATTGCTAAGATACTCTTGCTAAGAAAATCTTGAATATGTGGCCTCCCGGGCGTGGCTCAGCGGTTGAGCGTCCACCTAGGATCCAGGCGATCAGGGTTCGATTCCCGGTCAGGGTACATGCCCAGGTTGCGGGCTGCAACCAATCAATGACTCTCTCATCACTGATGTTTCTATCTCTCTCTCTCCCTCTCCCTTCCTCTCTCTGAAATCAATAAAGATATATTTTAATAAAGAAAATCTTGAATATGTGGAAAAGTATGCATATTACTAATGGAGTGATACAAAATTGTATGATATAAATTTTACCAAAATTTTAAAGTCAGTATATCCCAATAAAAATGCCAATAATATGTCTTAGTAGGACCTGACATGCTACATCTAAAATTGACTTGGAAGAGAAAGCATAATATCAGCCCTCTGAAAAATGTTTATTAAGCAATGAGGATATCTTTCCTTGCCACATATCAAATATACTTTTAGAAATTAAAATAGCATGATGGTGTTGGCATAAAATAGAACATAGAGTACAAAAATAAAACATATATGATAAAGATGGCATTTCAAACCAATGAGAAAAGTGTAGGCTTTGATATTTGAGACAAATGATACACATTTTAAAAAGTTAAAAGTCACGTCATGTACAAAAATAGATTGTAATTTGATTAAAACAAAACAATGATTATCTGTTTTATAGATCTCTTATTTACAGTATTTAAGGTTAAGATTCTCAGAGTCATTGATTCATTTACTTTTTAAAAATATATGTTTATCTTTATTGATTTCAGAGAGAGGAAGGGAGAGGGAGAAAGAGAGAGAGAGAAATATCAATGATGAGAGAGTCATTGCTTGGCTGCCCCCTGCACACTCCTAGGCATGTGCCCAACCAGGAATGGAAACTCGATCTCCTGGATCATAGGTTGATGCTCAACCACTGAGCCAAACTAGCTAGGCTGTTCATTTACTTTTATGCACAAAAGGAGAAAAGTTCATTCCATGACTTTTCTGACTAACAAAAAGAAATGGCTATTATACATCGTCTAAAATTATAGATATTAATTTGAATTTTTTTCTTTTATTTTTGTTAATCTTTACCCAAGGGTATTTTTTTCCATTGATTTTTAGAGAGAGTGGAAAGTAGGGAGGGGGGGAGAGAGAGAGAAACATGAGGGAGGGAGAGGGGTAGAGGAGAGAGAAAAACTTTGACGTGAAAGAGACACGTTGATTGGTTGCCTCCTACTTGCACCCTGACTGGGGCTGGAGATTGAACCTGCAATCCAGGTATGTGCCCTTGGCTGGGAATCAAACCCGAGACCCTTTGGTGCTCCAGCCAACACTCTATCCACTGAGCTGCACCGACCAGGGCAATTTGAATTACTTTTTTTAATCCTCACCTGAGGATATTTTTTCCATTGTTTTTCAGAGAGAGTGGAAGGGAGAGAGAGAAACATCGATGTGAGAGAGACACATCACTTGTTGCCTCCTGCATGGTCCCCAACCAGGGCTGAGGATCAAGCCTGCAACTGAGGTATGTGTCCTTGGCTGGAATCAAACCCAGGACCCTTCAGTCCAAGGGCCAACGATGCCCTAACCTCTGAGCCAAACTGGCTAGGGTTGAAATATTTTTTACTCATGATGATCAAGTAGCACAAAAGTCCTTCAGATATATTAAATTTTTGAAGTCTACTTATCTCAAAAAAGTGTTTATGCAGACACCCTTTGAAGGACAATTTTATGATTGCTAAATAAGGAAAAGGTTTCAATTTAGTATATATTTTCCTTCTCCAACTTTATTTTAAAAGTTTTTTCTGAATACAAAAGTTTGACTATTTGAATTTCTGTCTTATACACTTTCAGCTTAAAATTCCATTTGTTATTGGAACTATAAATTGGGAAGACCTGCAGTTTTAGAGACTCAGGATTTCATTTGCTAGATCTGAATCTGAAAGAGCAGTGCCCACAGAAAACTAGACTTAATCAAAATCAAAGACAGTAGATTTTCAGAAATCAAAATGGGGCTTGTAAAAGGTTTATAAAAATATAACTTTGTAATAGGGAAGGGTTGAAACTAGAGATAATACTAAAGAACCATAAGGGAAAGATTGTTTGACTATTTCTAACTGGTAGAATATATACTAGATCTTTTTCAATGCATTTTAATAGATACTGATAAAGAAATACATAATTTTGTTGTATAAGATGTCTTCTGCCCAGCCAGGCATGGCTTAGCGGTTGAGCATCGACCTAGGATCCAGGTGATCGGGGTTCGATTCCCGGTCAGAGCACATGCCCGGGTTGCAGGCTCGATCCCCAGTTGGGGACGTGCAGGAGGCAGCCAATCAATGACTCGCTCATCATTGATGTTTCTATCTCTCTCTCTCCCTCTCCCT